GCATTTTTTTTTCTTTTCACCATTGTTTGTCTGAATCAGAAAGTGAAGAACAGAGGGGAGAAATGCTGAAGAAGTTTGAACGTTTTCAGCATCTCGCTGAGCTCTACCACGTGTATCGCTCAATCCAGCGATACACGGTAAGAATACGATACACCTTAAGTCAAGACAACTGTGAATCGGTGTTTAAGTAACAAGGATGACTTTTTTTTTTTTTTTAGCTGTCAGATTGTGCGTACTTGGAAACAATACCTACTATGTAGTTAGGTAGTTTAGGTACAAAGTTCCTTTTGCATTTTCTCTCTTTTCTAACAGTCCACTGTGATTTCTGCCTACTTTTGAATCAACTTTTATACTCAAATTCATCCAGACTGCTGTGTATTTGACAAAATTAGGTCTGGCTCTGCAAGATTATGTCAATCCAAGAGAGTCACGGTTTAAAGAGAAATTAAAATATTCATAGAGGGTGTTGGGCAGGGGACAAAAGAGAGAATTAAAGGCATTCAGGTTGCAGTTTATTGAAGGGAAATATCAGCTTGAAGGAACCTCCATTATTAGATTCTTGAAACCTCCCTGACCTCTATTACCATCAGTCCTCTTTTCCGAGCCTGCAGCTCTAACTTACTTTCAAACAAGCAGTTCTGGCTTATGAGCCCTGTATGGGTGACCTGGCCTGTGTCAGCGTTCTCAGTTTGTTGTTTCAGCTTTTTGCTCTGCTATGGTCACACCCCTGCAACAGAGAGGCATCGCTGTGATCCAGGCCAGAGCAGGAAGCCTCTATATCTCATTTTAACTCTCCCAGACAGGCACTATAGATTTGAACTATCAACTATAGGGATAAAGGGCTGTTAGTGATTTTGTTTTTTTTTAAGAAAATGCATCTTTTCCTTCAGGGTACTTTGAGCAGGAATGAGGCACTTTGAGTGGTTAGGCTGCTTTTAGATCAGGTTAAAAGATGACGGGAAAAAAAGTTGGAAATGGAGCTTTTAAAACTTTCATCTGAGATTTCTAACACTTTGTGACCCCTTAAACTTACATGTGTATATTTTTAACTGTCTTTATCTGTAGGATGAGCCCTTCAGTTCTCACATGCCAGACACGCTCTTCAACATCTGCAGATTCCTCCTGAACAACCTCACAAAGGACATACCACCAGGCATCTCTAAAGTGTATCCTAACATTTCAGAAAATGGACTTAAGGTAGTGTTAGATCTCAGCAAATATTTAGAAAATGGAGCATTATGGGGGCCTCTTAATGTGGAAAACTCTCTGTGACAGATAGATACCATTCTAAAATCACAACTGGCAGAGGCAGTGAAGATAGAGCAGTGGAAAACAGATAGACGTAGGGAGAAATCAGGAGAGTTGGCGCCACTCCGAAAACCAAAGTGCTGCTGAGAGAAAGAAAAGGGGTGTTGATGGGGAGGAGGAGCCGATGCCAGCAAGAAACACATTTTCTGTTATCTAAACAAGTGCTTTGATTGCTGAACTTTGTGCAAAAGTATGCATACCAAAACACACTGAACAATACGTTTTAATTTGAACAAATACACACATACACGGTCGCGTACACCCACAGCCACATGGGCAAATCTATGTAGGCACACATCGGACTCTGGAATGAGGAAGGAAAGCGCAGCCTTGGAAGAGGAAATCAGGCCGAACAGCTGCAATCCTCTGTGGCCAAGCTGAAATGTTCCAAAAACTTTGAACTTGGATTTATAGTCTCAGCAAATTGCATTCAACTTGGTTCAACACTTAAAACACTGCACGCACACACACAAAATTGCACTTAAACAGCTCCACAATAGGACGTGCACTGATCAAGAGTCACAAAACTGGGTGTGTAGGAGGAGAATCGAGAGCGGCTGGGTAGAGGGGCAAGAACAGAAACGATGTTGAGTTTTAGGTGATGGAGAAGTGCCTTTGTAGTGCTGTTGCAGCTGCAACTCATTGACCTCTGGTTGCCACTCTCAGAGCTCCTCTAGTAACAATATGTTTCTGTATAAATACAAATAAGCAACTCGTCCTCAATTAAAACACAAAAAAACCCTACAAACAAACTAATTTATTACTTTCTGGGCATGCAGTCAGTGTTGCTGGCTTAGCGCAGCTGATGTTCTGCTAATGTAACACAAGTATAAATACGCCCACAATATTTGGAATAAGATATCTACAAAGCAGTAATTCTGTGCCAAATCTTCCCCAGGTTTATTTTTCCTTGACCTGATTATAGAAACACTTTATATGCGCTGGCCAAGCAGAGCCGACAGCTTGGTGCATATAAGCTTGCAAGGTACGCATACGAGAAGCTGCAGGAGCTGCACATTCCCTCACGCTTCCAAGAGTCTATAGAGCTGGGCTGCCTCACCATTCGTTCCAAACCTTTCCACGACAAAGAGGTGTGTGTGTATGTGATGTTTTTGAAATTTTAGAGCTGTGACCTTTATCATATTTGTTAAACACACCTGTGTTTGCTGCAGGATCTGATTGAGGGCATGATGTGCTACCGCTGCTCCACCAACAACCCCCTGTTGAACAACCAGGGGAGTGTGTGCATTAACTGCAGGCAGCCTTTCATCTACTGCGCCTCGTCATATGGTCACTGACACTCATACACACCGTGCGCAGTATATGCCACCAAGGAATCTGCTTGTTTTATTAGAGTTTTTTTAAATGTCGCATGTGATTTTGTACAGATGTGCTGCCGCTGGTCCAGTTCTACCTGGAGGAAGACATCTCTGATGAGGATGCTCTGTCTCTTATTGATCTAGAAGTTCCTCACACAGATCAGAGGGCTGCACGATGGCAGGATATAGATAATGGTGGTATCCTTTGATCATCAGTTATATGTTGATATATAGACAAACAAGGGTTATTAATGTGTTATAAAAGACCTACTGAGCCTTTACTGTGCCACAAGTCTGTGTTCATGCTGTAACACAGAGCACATCTCCTCAAAATGAAGCACGTGGCTCTCCTCTGCCTTGTGACAGTTCTAAGAAGCTGTTTAGTCTGCGCTGGCCTTGATTCTGTACTTGTGGGTAAGCTGTCAGAACTAAGTCATCTTAGCTCTCGAGCTAATAGGGTTACTGAGGCTCTCCTGTCTCATCTTAATGACACTAACCCTCTGAGAGCCGTAGCCACAGCCCTAGTGCAGGGATTAACCTGCATTAGCCAGCAGACACTCAAGGGCACTGAGGTATGCTGTGTTCTTCCAGAGCCGTGAAGTGACTGACAGCCACAGCTAATTTTGAACACTTTGCCTCTTAGAAAAGTCTCTCGGGGATAATTTTGTAAGGGGTTTTCCTGCTCTGCAAACATAATTACTGAAGACATATGCGACACAAAATGTGTGAAATGTGTGCATCGCCTTGGTTATATGTTCTCAAATAAACACAATAAGATCTCCAATCTTTGAGGATGGATGAGGGTTTGGACGATGAAGAGGAAGATCCATTTACAGCCAAAATGAGCTTTGAGGTAATAAGAAAAAGGACAAAATAGATGAGGTGATTAATATTCTGCCAAATGGGCAAGCCAGCTGGACAGGGTGAAAGGACGGAGTTTATAATGGTTCATTTTTGTGTATAAACAGCAGGGGGGCTCAAACTTTGTCCCAGTCAAGGTGAGTCGTCCTGTGCTGCGCGCCATGAGCAGGAGGGACGTGCTGATCAAACGCTGGCCCAGGCCGCTCAAATGGGAATACTTCCGCTCCCTGCTGCCTGAAGTCAGCATTACCATGTGTCCTACCTGCTTCAAGGTACAGCATTTATAATGCATTCAGCTAGCAGAACCCAGTGTTAACCACCTGGTGTCCTCTTTGACGAACAAAGTTTTTGAATTATTTCTTTATTTTCCTGTCAAGTTGCTCACACTCTCGTGCTGTGTTTATTGCAGATGTTTCACAGTGAAGATTATGAGCTTCTGGTGCTTCAGCATAACTGCTGCCCATACTGTCGGAGGCCCATCGACGAACCAAACTGACGGTGAACTGAAAGTGGAGCACCTAATTTATACATTTTTGTCTTCTGATTACATTTTCTTTAAAACTGTGCGGTACGTTTGGCGGGTGTACATTATAGGAGCAGCTCTTTGTTATCCAAGGTTGAATGGCTGAAGTAATACCTAGAGTGTTTGTGTGTCGGTCATTACAGAGTGTAAGAAAAGTGCACCATCAGCCAATAAAGCCTGGATTATTAGGATCAGATTACCCCGGGCCAGTCAGTGATTACATCATTCACTCTGTAAATGTACAGTGTAAACATATAAATAGAATTTTTTTTTTTTTTGGATATAATACAAAACGTGTTTGTTGTGTAGAGAATTTTCCTACTCACAACAATGAGATAATATTCTACCATCAAGTCTACAGCTTTATGCACTACAGCTGCACTGTATGTTTGATAACAATACAAGATCATCTGTTATTAAGTCACAAGAATTTGATTTTTATATGCTTGCAAATATCCTTTGAATAAATTGTATATTGGCAATTTGTAAAACTGCGAGTTTTCTTAATCCTTCAAAGACAATAACTGCCCCTCTTGATTTGTGTTTGTGTCTCCCAGATTCTAATTGCAGTTCACTCAAGGCTATGAGTTGAGCTCTGCATTATGCATTGGTTAGGGATTAGGCTTTTACAGATGCAAATAAGTTGGACCGCTCAAGAAATTTCATTTATAGTTGGTCTACTCTGCACGGTTCAGATCACAGACAGTTAGTTTCCTTCCCTTTCCCTCCTACTCTCTCATCTCATTCTGATGCAGCACTGATGCGCATGACAGTAATGATGGGGTTTGGATAACCATGGCTGTTACCTCTCACCTTGAAATTGCTTAACATACTGCATATCTATTTCTGGAGTTTTCTCCATTGTGTGTGTATCTGTGTGTGCGTCTGTGAGAGAAAGAGGGACTATCACATTGTGTGTCTTAATTCCATCTTCCCTAACACTTCACTCTTCGCAAGTCCCTAATCCGACCAGCCTGTTTAAAAGGTGCCGCACCTCCTCAGGGGGCTGCAGAGAACACCTTACTTCTACAAGAGCCGTTCCACCGTCCATCCTTTCTCCCTCATTTCCACTTCAACTACACCAAAAGACTCCCTCATAGTAGTTTATTCTAAAAAGAGAGAGAGGCACAGATTGTTTCATCCACTTTTAAGGTCTTAGAAGAAGAAAAGGCATCAACACCCGCAGCCATGAATGGCACAGAAGGACCCAACTTCTATGTACCCATGTCTAACAAGACTGGGGTGGTGCGCAGCCCATTTGAGTACCCTCAGTACTACCTGGCTGAGCCCTGGAAGTACTCTCTTCTTGCAGCGTACATGCTGTTCCTCATCATTTCTTCCTTCCCCATTAACTTTCTCACCCTCTACGTCACTGTCAAGCACAAAAAGCTGAGGACCCCGCTGAACTACGTTCTGCTCAACCTGGCGGTGGCCGACCTCTTTATGGTAGTTGGGGGCTTCACGGTCACGCTCTACACGGCCCTGCATGGATATTTCGTCTTAGGTGTCAGCGGCTGCAATATTGAAGGATTCTTTGCCACATTAGGAGGTAAGAGTCAGAATTAAACTGTAAACTGTGTTTTCTGTGTGGATTTAGAACAAAACAAGTCACACTTTAAATTTGCTATAGTTTTTGGGTCACTCTCATAGGTTTGAATGTATTAAGTCGTTCATTTTTATAGGAAATTAGTTTGTCTAATTACTTAAACTTGAATCTAATATACTGCTTTTATTATTTCATGTTTAATGTCAGTAGAGATGCTGTACTTAAACTTACATACATGCTTTCTTTCATGTTTTAGGAGAGATTGCTCTCTGGTCTCTGGTGGTTTTGGCTATTGAGCGCTATATTGTGGTCTGTAAGCCGATGACCAACTTCCGCTTTGGAGAAAAACATGCCGTGGCTGGCCTGGGTTTCACATGGGTCATGGCCCTGACCTGTGCTGCTCCCCCTCTCTTTGGATGGTCCCGGTACAGTTAGTTTCTGTGTCTACACTCTGTTTGATTAATATTCTGAGGACCATTTTCCCAGTAAAGCAGTTTTATAGTTATGTTTTTAAAACCTGCAAACTAGTGTAAATCACACATGCGGCACAAATACTGTGTAATGGTGCTGGCCGAAGTCTTTGAGTTATTGTGTGTTGTGCAGGTATATCCCAGAGGGAATGCAGTGTTCCTGTGGGATTGACTACTACACTCCCAAGCCTGAGATCAACAACACCTCGTTCGTCATCTATATGTTTGTCCTCCACTTCTGTATCCCCTTGTTCATCATCTTCTTCTGCTACACTAGCCTCCTCTGCACTGTGCGAGCGGTAGGAATGCCACTGCCAAAGCAATATTAATAGCAAAGACTTGATATATTGTTTAGCCCTGTAGAAAAATTCCACTTTATTATGTTTTTTGATTTTTTTTTTCACCTTGCTCCCTTTCACAAGGGGTACTGCACATCACAGAGTCTCTGGAGATGTAAGGGATTTAGGGGCTCAAGGACACTTCAGGAGGGCAGATCCCTGCCAACATGGCAGCTTACACCCAGGTCCTCTGGCTAAAGGGCAGTCTGCCTGCTCACTGTGTCGTCCTGATGCCTTTATTAATAATAGAATAAGAGCATTTATAATGTATAAGTGATTATACACAATTATAATGCAGATTTTCATTTAAATTGGCTATAATCAGCATTCTTTAGTACATCTGTCAAATGGTAGTTTAAACATGTGGAAACAGATTAAAATAGGTTGCTTATAACCTTCAGAGAATTTTTGTTATCTGAATCTGCAGCTCCTCCCAGCTTTGGGGAGATTTAGAGGGAGTTTCAGAGAGACTGTTTTTGGCTGCGTGACCCAGCTTTAATGATCTGGTACACTCTTACTGCTCTCATAGCTTCTCGTGTGTGTTTTTTGATAAGGATACACCAACTGCAAAATACTAGGCCAATGTTTAATATAATGCTTTGACTGACAGCTTATACCAAGTCTAGATTATGATAATTTATTGCACTGATTGGCCTACTGCAGTCAACACAATGTCAACTTTGTGTCAATATATCAACGTTTTTAGCAAAAGACCCAAAACCCAGCATCACCTCCCACACACTACAAATACACTTTATTTGTTATTAGCTGCTAAACAAAAAGGAGAACCAAGCATCTAAAGGGGAAGATATGTATAGTTAGTGTAGTGAGAGACAGTCTCTCCTAAAATCTAATCATTCAACATTCGTGTGAAATATGAGCATCTTTACATATGTTAAATTACATTAGCCTGATGTGAGCCTGAGGTAAGTTTTCATGCCTAAAATAAGTCACTGTTTGTATTTTTGAAACTATCTTACAGCAGACAAAGTTAAAGATACATTTAAAACCATTACGATTTCTCTATTGAAACCTACAGCTTAAGCATGTGCTGCTTGTAGCTAGTTCAGACCAAGAACAGACCTAACAGTACAAATACAATAAATAAAATGCATTACAATGCTAATGCCTAGCTAACTCTTAACCTCCACACTAGCTATGCCAAAAAGTCTTGTTCTGAATAACGTATTCAACCTTTGCTGCCCCCATGTGGACAAAGAAATTAGTGCACGTTCACAAGTGACAGGCATGAATTCTCATCTGTTTTTGGAGAGAGTACGTGTCTCATGTCAGTGAGAGATCGGTAGAGCTAAGACAAAATTGAAGTTATTATCTCAAAATTTGAATATTTGAAATAATGCTGCAAAATTCTGACTGGCAGGAAAAAAGAAATTACTTCAGTGGTGGAATCGGGCTTCCATAGGATAATGCGTTTGTTTTTTCCACAACATAAAAAACATAACTAAATAAACAGTGTTAGTCATCTCGGTGGTCTAATCAGTTTTGTTCAGCAGTCGTGATGGGCTCAAGCCTTTTGTTTACATTCGGATTAGAGGTTTAAGTTAACCTGAATCTGTCTGTCAGGCTGCAGCTCAGCAGCAGGAGTCTGAAACCACCCAGAGGGCAGAGAAAGAAGTGACTCGCATGGTCATTGTCATGGTGATCTCCTTTTTGGTATGCTGGGTGCCCTATGCCAGCGTGGCTTGGTACATCTTTGCCAATCAGGGAACTGAGTTTGGGCCAGTATTCATGACTGCTCCCGCCTTCTTCGCCAAGAGTGCCGCTCTGTACAACCCAGTCATCTACATCCTGCTAAACAGACAGGTATGACGTACAAGAGTATTTTCACGAACGCATTTTCACTTTGACACAGTTTTTGCAGGAAATTGTGTGGGCTTCATGTGTCTGACAGCTGTGGTTACTTTTCAGAGAAGCGCTTTACATAGTAAATTTTAGCTTATATAGTAACAAATTTCCTGTTCCCAGCAGTTGGGGTTGTGTGTTTTTTTTCCAGATGTGTGTGATTCTACCAGATTTGCCCATTTTCAAATGATTTGGTTTAATTGTCTAGTAGTGTTTCCATTTCTTTATCCTTCATTTCATTGCTCACTTCAGGTTAACAAATCGTTAACTTGGAAACTACAGGGGTACACTAATGTAATCTCTACTTTGACTAGTAGCCTAAATCTAAATGTAAGAACATTTCTCTAATTCACACGGGCGATCGTGGCTCAAGAGTTGGCAGTTCGTCTTGTAATCGGAAGGTTGCCGGTTCGAGCCCCGGCTCGGATAGTCTCGGTCGCTGTGTCCTTGGGCAAGACACTTGGCGCCCCAGGGCAGCTGTGGCTACAATGTAGCTTGGCATCACCAGTGTGTGAATATGGGTGGATGACTGAATGTGTAAAGCGCTTTGGGGTCCTTAGGGGCTATGTAAAGCTCTATACAAATACAGGCCATTTTAATAGTTAGTTCGTTTTTTCTAATTAACTATGTCCCAAAGTAAAAAAAAATAAAGTCAAATAAAAATAAAAAAAAAATTCAAATCAGCAGATAATGACCTGTAATTGTCTTTTCTTTCATTTTTAACCTTTATTTCATAATTTAAGCCATAAGTGCTGTGTTTATAGGTTTTTTTGATTTAAGCAGTTCTGTCATATAAAGGCTGAGATGTATTGTCGCTGTGTTGTTGCACAAATTGCACTTTTTTTTCTTTTGAATCCTCAATGATTAAATTTGTAGTTACACTTAAATTTAAATTATTTACACTTAAACAGTTTGCAGGTGTCTTTTTATAGGCAATAGTTTTTCTGATCTGGCTCACTAAAAATCAAATTGAGCTGTATGTGGCCTCACGATGTAAAATGAGTTTGACAACCCGTGAAGGCGTCATAACTCTGATTGTGATTTGTTTTTGTGACCTCCAGTTCAGAAACTGCATGATCACCACGGTGTGCTGTGGAAAGAACCCATTTGGAGAAGATGAGGCTGCCGTCTCCAAAACTCAGACTTCATCCGTCTCTTCAAGCCAGGTGGCCCCCGCTTGACCTGTGCTCCCTTTCTCACCCTCTTCTGTCCCATCTGTGCCTGCCTCAGATGGGGACCCACCACCGCCAAGCAGCACTACCTTCAATCAGCCAATCCTCTTGACTTACCTCTCCTTTTGTCTTCTCTGCAGTGTCGCCACTGCACCTTCAAGCGGGACTGACGCATTTAAAAACCAGCATGTGTGTTTTTAATCCATTTAATTATGGAGGGTTCAGCTGGTCTCACAGATTTTAACCTGGCATCCAAAGGGGTGACCACTTGGTGGTCATCCAACTGAGCACCATATGAGCTCTTCACTTTCCAAAAACACACAAACTGGGTAAAAATCCAACTGTAAGTAATTATCACAACTAATTATGTATCCAAAAACGTGCTTTAAACAGTCAATTATATGAGTGGAATTACTCTGTTTAGATAATCAGATGAGTTTTTAAGCTCTACTGTTGTCTCTCTAACTCTATTCTAGTTGCCGTGTCGATCAAGCTGAGAAGGTTAGCTTCTTGGTATTGTCTGAGATGATTAGTGTAAAGAAATATGGACCTCCTGCAAGAGTCTGTACATGTGTGAGTTGGATGTTTATGTATGCGAATGTCAGAATGCTAGTGTGTGAATTAAGGTGAAACAGGAATATTACTGTAATGGCTCGGATTTGTGGCAGTTGTTCTGTGTCCTGCAATAAAAACAAAGCTAAATGTCTGCACGATCCCCCCTGCCCCTTACTCGTTTTCTTCATGAGAACATTTACAAGGATTTCTGAGAAGTTCCAGATGCTAGCTTGTGGGCTTTTAGGTGGCAGGCCAAATCATAATGGTTTTCAAATGTTAAAATTCACTGTGGCGCTGTAATGCATTTAGAAGTGAACCACTCTGAGAATTAGTATAATAAATGCCATTACTAGACACTTTAAAATCCTAAATACTGTAATTTATTTCACAAACTCTGACAAGTCATTTGGCATCACAAATACAGTCTCTCCTCTGATTATATTGAGCTCACTTTTTTTTTCTTAAATGTAAATTTCCCTCTTTTAAATTTGATCAGAATCCAACATGATTACCATTCATTGACAAGCACACAGATCAACACTTATATACTGATGCAGCTCTTCCCAGTGAACTACATTACATTTTGATTTCATAAATTTCGTCGCCCCACTCCTCCGCAACCCGTCATCAACCTGCGAAGCACATTGGGACATATTGTTGAAAGCACCAATGAAAGTCCAACGCCCATCTTCACCAATCACACCTGAGAACGTTGCAGGCTTTAGGAGATGAGAGGAGTTTATCATGGTCCTACTAATCCTGATGAACAGGCCACTTGAAAGCATTATAACACATCTATAAATATTGCTATGGACATTATATTACAGTACAGTGCATCATTGGCTTGTTCCCTTCAGAAAAGGGTTCAGTGCGTTAAGGTTGCCACCAGGGCGAACTGTAGGTCCCAGTAACTGTAAAGACATCCCAAAACCCCCATCTCTGAGCTCCCACACATTCCCTCTAAAGCGTAGTAGAGTCCAGTCGGAACTGCGTCTGTTTCATGGATTAATATTTGGGAAAATTTCTTGGCATCCCCACAAGAAAGGAGGGATACTTTGCAAATGTATGATGCTTAACAGGCAGGTTTGAATCCTTTGCTCTGCCGCTTTCCATCCTGGTAACAGTTTGCTTGAAGAATAATAACACTTAAGACGGATAACTCCTGTGACCGACATTCCCAAGTAACCACGTAAGTGGGAGAAAGGCAGTTGGCAGCAGGAGGAAGAGATTGTGAGCAGAAGATATTGGCAGGTTCAGGCTTCACTGCAGCACTCATAGATGTTGTCCTCCACAAGGGCAATGACCTGCTCAAACTTGTGGTGCAGCTGAGTGCGACGTGCAGTGGGGTTCGACTCCAGAGCGTTCACCACCTGACCGAGGGAGATAGAAAAGAAACACACAACAAAGGAGACTTTCAGTGGCTGTCGAGCATTCATGCATCTATCTTTCTGGAGAGATTTAGAGAACCAGCCAGACATAGAAAGTCGAACAAGTGAAAGGGAGAGGCAGCAGAGGAACAAGTGAAGTACTTCAGCCTCTTCTGCTGCCTTCATGCATGCCTCCACACCACAAAAGCGTTCGCTCTTCACATATTTACAAAACCCACATCTGCTCTGTTTTTCATGCCCAATAGTTGTCACCGTGTCAGTGGGATTTATGGGCTCTTAGCGGCAGTGTGCTACCAGGCAGAGCGAACTGAGCTGGGGCGACAGAATAGGCAATCAGGGGCCATTCAAAGAGCTCCCTGAATCAGAGTCTAAGCCCATGGCCCACGTCAGTACAGTAGCTTGACAGAGGAAAGCAGCTAAACGGTATTATCATGAGGGTGCTCCATTAAAGCACAGTCACCACTGACTAAGCCTCTCTAGAGAATAGTCACAGCAGCGAGGAAACATGGGGGAGTACAGCAGGGGCTTGAACAGGGCTAGTTCAACGCGACGCATGAGATACGAAGCGGCACCTTAACAGTCATTAAGCAGATGGGGTTGTGATTAAAGAGAAGGTAAACAGCACGCTGTTTGCCTAAAGTGAAAGGTATCCGTGGGCTGGAAACAAAGGATTGGACAGACTGAATAGCGGCTGCTGCTAAGAAGATATTCCACACGGAGCATTTTCCCCGCTTAAAACATAACACCAGGAAAAAAACAACAAAATACTGCAGGTTTTCAACTAAGGCATTACGCGACAGGTTGTGAAGGTGTCTACAGTATGTGACATCTGTCAGCGTGGCTGCGATCTTCCCTACTGATGCGTCACGCTCCGATATCCATCTGTGAAACTTAATACAGCAAGTGGGCTCAACTGAGATGTTTCATCTGCCAAATAGGGGCTGTTGTTTCAACAGTAAAAAATCTAATCCAAATATGAGATCACAAACACAGAAAAAGCACTGTGAATATCTCTTACCTGGTTTCTGTATCTCTTGGCATATTTGTAGATTTCTGTCAAGGCCAGGTTGGTGTTGAATTCATTTCTGTATTTCTGCCGGAGCGATATCAACATGTTTGATTACATTAAAAAAAAAATAAGAACGGGCCTGTGATTGCAGGCTTTTGTGAAACTAAATAACTCACACACAGAAACTTTTGGAATCTTTCACTTACTCGTGACTCCTCAGCCAGGTGAGCATTCATCTCCTGCTCGCTGAGGGGTGGCATGTCTTGTATCTGCTGGTAATAGCATTGCACTCTCTTCTTATACTCTGGGATCTCCTTGGCATACAGCAGCTTGTTGGTAGGCGAGTCCTGGAAACAAATGGCAGCTTTTAGCCAGAGTACTCAGACATTAAGAACACCTTGCAAATCCAGAGTTGTGAAATAAAAATGGAACAGCTTTGACCTTAAGGCTATGTGGCCATTTTAGCCTGCTTTAGATTTCCAGACTACTACATTTGTCTTTCTTAGTCTCACTACGTTTACTCAAAGTTATGGTTACTATATACTCTGAAATCTGTATCATTATACATTTCACCTTTCAACTGTGCTGCTCTCATGCTAATCTAGCAGTAATAAAGCTTTGACAAGAGCCGAACAAAGACAATGTGCTCACTCACAGTCTGCCCTTTTTATTTTATGGGTAAACGCCTGCTATTTCCTGCTGATCCATTTTTTCGAGTCTGCTTTCCCCTGCTGTCAAATTCCCTACATTTAAGTTGTGATATTGCAATTCTTGGCCAATGAGGTTTCTGCTCAAACCCGTCATTTTCTGGCTGCTCGGCTTTAAATACCATTTCAATCCAGTGTTTCTGACTTTTCGTACCTCCTGCTGTGCAACCCACCTCCCCCTCATCCATGGAGACAGAAGTGAAACTTTATATCAACCACCCGCTGGGCCCTACTGCATCACCGTCAGCATCTGAACTCTGGGATCTTGATGTGGGCCTACGCATAATTACGATGCTTCTCATTGATGAACGAGTCACAAAAAATGTAACCTCTGTTAAAACCTGATTAAATTTTTTTTTATATGCTTCAGTGTTTATTTGCAATAAAACACTCTAAGAAGGACACTTCGTCCAGTCAGTGCTTGTGGGCAGGCCAAGGATTGTCTCACATCATGCCCCTCACTCCATTCCCCTACATTTGAGTAAAAGAGCTTCCTCCTCTTGGAATAAAATGAACACTTCTCCCACTTTGCCCTAATGGCGGTTTAATTAAACTGGATGTTATTTGTTGATGAGCCTATCTACACCAGTCTAAAGTGAAACAATGGAGGGAGGGAACCGTTTCCTTTGCGCACAGAAGGAGACTCAAACAGTTATAGCCAGGGAAGAAACAAACCAGTCTAAACAACTCTCTCCACAGTCACTTTAGGCTCTCACACTGGTGTTTATTCAAGCAGGAAGAGAAGTAGTGAGGCTAAAAGGCTGTGGGCATGTTCAGGTTTCAGTTGTGGCTGTTGTTGTGAGCGAGTCTCTGTGTTGCGTGTGTGTTACTGTGAGAGAGAGAACGGGACAGGGAGAAAGTAGGGCAGGGAAAAAGACGGGGTTAAAAGTGACGGACAGCCACAGCTTTCAGCATCAGTGAAGGTGCTTACAACACACCTTGGCATTTCTATGTGTCATGAGCTATTTGTGTCACCTATTGCATGTTTGTGTGGTTTAATGTGCTGAGGGACTGGATGGCTCCGGCTACAGTTGCTCCTTCTGATAGTGAACCCTCTCTCTTCCTGTCCACAAGGTCACTTCCTGCTGCTCGCCCATCTGCCTGGTAACCCCCCTGTGACCCTATGGCCCTCTATGTCCTGCATCTCGCCAGATAAGAGGGTTTCTGTGGAAACAGCGAGCCATGCTTAGTCTCCTACCCCTCCCTCACCCCTGCTGGCTCCTGCTAATCCAGACCCTACACTCTCTATTCCTGAGGCACATTCACAAACAGGCGACCGTGCATAGAGGTGTGTCAGGCCACCGTCCTTAACCTACAGGAGAAAATGTGGCCATATCCTTCAACCTGGCGATTCCACAGACAGATGTGACACAATAATGAGACACCATGGAAAAATCTGTCATATCGGGAGGTTTTGCGTTCGTTTCTACATCTATAGGTACACATCTGCCCGCAAGTACATGTGAATATTGGCGCTGTGGATGCACTCGCTTTTTGGCTCGGACCTGAAGTGTATAAATCAGACTGTTTCTCTGTGAAAGAGGAGCATTATTTGATGAGTCCTCGGCTCCCTCCAGGGAGGAAGCCAGTCAGAGAGAGACAGGAAGCAGAGCGTGCTCAGGGTCACGGTGTCTGAAGGATGAGACGGATTTGTGAGCAGTGAGGACATTGACATGCAAGCACACATATACAGACAGACAGATAGACGAATGCACACACACGCGCGCGCACACATTGGCGCACAGCACAAAAAGAGATCCCTGGTGCTCATGACCTTGGATCAGCCGACTGAGCTGAAATAACATGAGGAAAGGAGGTAGATGGGGCTGACAGTCTGAAGGCTTTGGGATGAAGGTTCACAGTGGGACCTGAGGTTTGTGTGTGTTAGTTAAATACAGTAGATACATAGAGCTGATGGACAGATAAATATAGTATGATAAATCAGAGGTTTTCAAGGAAGGCAGAGGAAGCCCAGGGGGGATCTATTTCCATATATGAATTTAAACACACACAGAGAACATCACAAATAATGTCAATAAATATACTTAGAAGAC